TTCTGAAGGAAGGTAAAAACACCTTACTCCGGGAAAGGCTGCTGCTGCTTCTTAGCGGTGTTACTGCTGCGGCTGTGCCTACGCCGCGGCACAGACCTCTCACTCCCCCTAAAAATCAGTGCATTTAAGCACGTAACACCCACTTTCATTATTAAGCATACACTCTATAAAATCACTTATGAGACAGACACGGGTTAACAAAGGCAACGATTGAGAGCTTCCTGTAGATAAAAGTATCGCTAAAAAATACTATCACCAGTAATTTTTGTGCCTGTGTTGAGACCTTCCAACATGAAACCCTTTGAAATTAAGCATACGCCACCAGTGACCGAAGCTTCAGGCCCAAGCAGAACAAAATGCCAAAGCACATTTGGATCCTATCTGCCAATGCAGAAAGAAGCCACAGGCTAGCGTACGAGCAATTACCCTTTGAGACTTGTTTCACTGTATGTCACCAGGAACAATTTCACGATTGAAAAAAAAAAAATCTTCAGAGGACAACAGTCCAGAAAAGAGATTCGGTCAAAAAAACCTGGAAGCTCCCTGACTGCCCTGACATCAAAACACAGGAAATGAAGTGTTTGGGCCTTCATGATTAACCCCCCCCGCAACTGCTAAGTCATGACAGATTCTATGAGGTAAATCACTGTAGTCATGACAACAATATAAAATCTTACTCATATAAATTCAATTTTAAACCTAAGCCCTTTGCACTTTGAGCTAAATTGAAATTCTGTACTGGCAGGATGTTCCAGTCGTGACGGACAGAACACACCATTCAGAAGTGCGTCATTGCGGGTGAGTTTCCAAAGAGGTTTCCAGCAGTCATCCTTAGAGGAATGGAAGATGAGTATCAGGAGAAGCCATAAGGATGACAAACAATACGAATGGTAAGTGCAACAAATTCTTATGCTGCAGGCCCAGCTGTTGAAGAAGTCACACGTACTGTATATTTCAGAACAGTAAAAGATCCTTCAGTTTATGAAGCATTAGAGACTTTACAACTACATAAAAGGATCTGTAAATAATTCAGCAGTAGACTCCTTCCTGTTTTCCTACCTACTCCTGTCCACACAGTCCACTAACATTAAATAACTGTCTTGCTTGTATAAATTTTAGTAAATAGAAATAAAACTCCTCTGAAAACTTTAGGTGGGCAAAGAAAAAAAAAACCTATAGCAAACCTGTGGTTATTTCTGAAGCAGAAAGGTCTTGTGCATTAGGTACTTATGGCAATGGCTCACTGTGACTTACCATGATATGCTTACAATGTTTGCACCCAAATTTTGTACCTCTTAGTGCATGACTCAGCTACAGTCCAGCCACTTCTTCTTGATGTCCTTTGGCAGAATCCCAGACACAGGTAGGACTAGTGTTTCCTGATACAAAAATCGTGATGTGGAAGCTCTGCACATATTGACTTAGGAAGAAGCACTCCTGAAATGTAGCTAATAGCCAAAATGGCACCACAATAATATAAAAGTCTCAAATGATTCCATTTATTATTCATCCTCATGAAATACCTGTGCTAAGAGCCTGTCTGTATTACCCCAAATTTAATTAAAAATTATTGACTGCTACATAATTAAAAGTGGTCAAATGCTTTGTGATATAAAAGTGAATATAAAAATCTACTAATTATGTCATAGTAAAACAACCAGGAAAATACAGAATGGAAACAAACAAAAAAAAATCTGAATTAATTTGGGAATGAATTAAATTAAAGAATTGATAAAAAAAAAAAAAGAAGTGTAGAGTTGGGGGATGGCCACATTTTACTTGACTAAGCTTTCTGACTTTTCTTAAATTGTAACCCAATATAGAATGACTGTGGTACTCAAATCTGGAAATTAAGAAACAGGCATTCATTCTCCCAGTTGTTACCCAACAATGGTTATGACCTCCTGACAACTTATAGATCAAAAAAAAGTATTCCTGGTTCGCTTTTTAGCTAATAGCAGATAGCTTTTGCTAAAGGGTCTTGTTGTACCACCCTTTACTTGCACTATAGTCACCTCTATTTGTACAAATAAAGAGATAGCAGTAGTTGTATTAACCAACATAATTAAAATGTTAAAAATAGAACATCTCCTGTAAATGGCCAAAAGAAAGTGCATCAGGGAGGTTACTTCACACTCCAGTTGCCTTTTGTAGGAATTCTTTCACTTCACTTGAACAGATGAGGTACAGGATAACGTGCCTGATGCCAGTCCTCCTGCAGGCAAGATGAGTCTAATGAGAAATAGTACAGACCTAATACTCTCTAATAAGAATAGTACAGATCTCAAATGAACCATTGGTTGCTCCATATGCACTAACTTTTTTATTATTATAATGACTTGCTGACTCTTTTGTGCTCTGGTTTGCAGATTCAGACATCTAATTTCATGCGCTGGAAGTTTATCTTTTTCAAAGGGCTTTTCTGTAGTGCATTTTTTTAACATAAGAGAGAACAAAAATGGTTTCTTGTAACATTTTCTCATCTGTTGCTCCTTTCCTTCTGCTCTACGCTAAGTATCTCAGGGGAGCTTAAGGCCAACTGCACTATCTGTACTGCAGATGCTGTCCCATCTCATGATGTACCCTGAATTCCTGTATGACTCTGAGGAGACCAGACATATATATATTCCATTTATCCCCGAGCTGCTAACATAAAGCCTTGAATGCAGATAAAGAAAAGCAACAAAGGGGAGAAACAAAATTTCTAGGCAGCAAAGACCTTTAGACAAACTGTAAGTATTTATCTACAGACACCATGCATCTTACTATTTCGCTTGAGAAATTGATCATGAACACATCATAGAATCACAAAATGGTTTGGGTTGGAAGGGACCTTATAGATCACCCCATTCCAACCCCCCTGCCATGGGCAGGGACTCCTTCCACCAGACCAGGGTACTCAAAGCCCCATCCAACCTGGCCTTGAACAGTGCCAGGGAGCAGGCAGCCACAGCTTCTCTGGGCAGCCTGGGCCAGGGCCTCACTGCCCTCATAGCAAAGAATTTCTTCCTTATACCGAATCTAAACCTACCCTCTTTCAGTTTAAAACTGTCACCTCTTGTCCTGTCACTCCATGTGCTTGTAAAAAGCCCCTCTCCAGCTCTCTCGCAGGCCCCTCCAGGCACTGGCAGGCTGCTCTAAGGTCTCCTCGGAGCTTTCTCTTCTCCAGGCTGAACAGACCCAGCTCTCCCAGCCTTTCCTCCCAGCAGAGGGGTTCCAGCCCTCGGATCATTGCTGGGGCCTCCTCTGACCCCACTCCCACAGCTCCAGGTCTGTCCTGTGCTGAGGGCTCCAGAGCTGGACACAGGACTCTGAGTGGGGTCTCAACAGAGCAGGGTAGGGGGTAGAATCCCTTCCCTCAACTGATGGCTGAGGCTACGCTAACTTGTATTAGTTATATTATTACATGCGTTAGTCATATTATTATAGACATGACTTGTCTTACGCAGATAACTTGTATTAATTTAATTTCCATTCTTAATTCTATGCATAAGAGTTTAAATCAATCTATTTGGATTTAAATTTTATTATAAGTTCCAAAAAAGCACTCATAACCAAATCACTGGAGCAGTAAACCTACTGAGGATTGGAAGCAAGTATTTCAGGGAGAGTAAGAGACAGCAGATGATAAAGAAATATCCAATGACACCATGCATCTGTTGTCTGGGCTGTCATTACTTCTTGCCAAAAAAAATAATGGCTTAACATATCTCTTCTCCATCTCTGCTTCTGATTAAAATCTAGTACTTACTGAACAGTGTAATGTAACTAGATCAGATCAAAGGTCTAGCCAGTTTAGCTGTTAAGAGATGAACAGTAGAAGGCTAAAGAAGAAAATAGAACAGGGTATTGCAGTATTTCCTCAGTAAGGAATCCTCTAAGCTTCCAACAGCTCATGACCAGTCACCTTGAGCATCTGGCCCTGTTACAGTACCTGTGTTTTTAATAATCTTCACCATGCTTTCTGTAATGAATTTGCTTTTTCAGACTCTTTCAGCACATGCAGACTTTTGTTATCTATATTATATTGTGCCAGTGAGTTTGAGACTTTAACTAAATATTGCATGAAAAAGAACCTCACAAAAAGTACCTCAAAAATACTTTAAATTTAAACAAAAAATAACTTTACAAGCCAAACTCTGCCAGGAATTGGCTGTATGTGGTTTTAACTAAGCTCTGGCATTTGTTTGAGAAGAATTTTCATAATGCTGAAATTAAGAATCTTCTATCTGATCCACTATACGGAAATGCTTGTAACAAAAAGTCTAGAACTACTGAAATACTGTGTCTCTTTCTAGGCAGCTCTGCAGACCAAATGATGCACTGCAACGTAATGTAAAAAAGAGATTACTTAGTGACTTAATTTATATAATGAAAATGATAGCAGAATAGGATATGTTGAATGTTACACACAACGGCTCTAAGGCAATCATTATGCCACAATATGAATACATGAACATTTGATAATTTCTGGCACCTTTTACCATATGGTATCTATATCTATCTGAAATTAACTCTTTTAAACATGCTACTTCAGAAAAGCAAAACCCAACAAATTAAGCACTGTATATCTATAGCAGAATATTTAATTCTACCAGAGAAATAACATACCAAGATCTGCTATGAAACATCTTTTAAACATACAGTAAGCATGCCATTTAACTTTCAGAGATGTATGCGCACGTGGTCAGTGTTACAGGGCTGCACCATTACTTGTCCACTCTGTGTAGACGTAGCACTTCAGGTCATGGTTTAGCAGGCATGGTGGTGATGCGTTGACAGTTGGACTTGATGATCTTAGAGGTCTTTTCCAACCTTAATGATTCTAGGATTTCTAACATATACCTCTCTACGTTGCTGCTTCTCTGCATCCTGTGCTGGGATGAGTTTGCAAAGAGGCGGCCGCACGCCGTGCTGCTGGAAGCTGGTACGCCAAGGAAAAGCACAGGCAAGCACAGTGCCTCTGGAGACAGAGGCAGTACCCCGAGCTGCCAGGACACACCAAGCAAGAAATAACCCGCCACCCTGCAAGAGACAGGCTGCGGGGCAGCGGGCTGCTGAGCCCCCAACAGCAAGCCCCGGACACACCGCCCCGCTCCCCCCGCCAGCTCCGATCCGCAGCACCCCCGCCGCTGCCCACACCGCAGCTGCCGGAGGGGGCTCCTTCCCGGCGCTGA